TCATGATAAAAGATATAATATAATGAATATAAATAAAATAATTCAATTGTTTTTAATTATTTTTAAATTAATTCAAACTTAATTAATCAAAAGCTTTTAGCAAAAATAAAAAATTAGAGATGTGACATTACAAAATATTATGATAGCAATATGGTGAGTTTTTGATTCAGAATAATTACTATTTTAAAAAAGTAATGCTTCATTTATTAGCTATTATTATAATATGAAAAAAGTCTATAGAAGTGTATGAATATTATTATTTATTTTTTTAATTAAATAGTAAAAGTATCTATTGGATAACTTTGATTACAAGAGTAGTTTTTCTAAAATATTTGTTTTTATTTTAAGCAATGAACATTATACATTTACTTTTGCTATATATGATATTTTTTTGAATTCTTAATCCAAGAGTATTATATATTCCGAAAAGTAAATTAAATATCATTGAGAATTTCCTCATAAGTAATCAATTATAATATGATAATTTTTTTTAATATAATCTTTAATACATTTATTAAATAGAAAGATTTTAATAATAGTAGTTTCTTCTTAAATTCTGCTGAAAAAATTTTAAATAATAAATTAGAAAATACTGTATATTAAATTGAGAACAATTGCAAAAATATTAAAACAAAAACAAAAAAAATCAGAATCAAATAGAATGTAACAAAACAATTCAATAATATTTTTACAAGAAAAACAAGATACTGGTCAACTCTTAATAAATATCCAAGTATTTAATCATGTGCATTATCTTTAAATAGTTAAATTAATGCACATCATTAAATGTATCAACTTCGATAATATTGATAACTAATTTAGTTATAATTAGCTAAATTAATAGGACAATTATTGAAAGTCATATTTATGTTAATCTGATCATCAGTAAATTTACTAATGGACTATACATATGGTAGTATGGAGCAAAACTCATATTTATATGCTAAAACATAAAAAAAATTTTTTTTAAAAATTTATTTATTTATTTATTTAAATATATTATTTGCAATATAAATAACTTAAATAAACTTTAAAGTTGTATATTATTTATCTATTTATTTTATTAATATTATTTTATATATTAAATTAAAACCAATAATTTTATTCAATTGTATTTTTATTAATTTATAATATAAACTTACAAAACTTAAAATTTGACAATAAAATATAATATAATTTTTATATATAAAAATTTAGTGCTTGTTATTTAATAGAAATATATTAATATTGAAAAGACACTTCTATCATTTCAGAAATAGAACTGATATTTTATAACTAAATATACGATACCCGGAATCTGATGATCATCAGTGCAATTAATAAAAACAATAATATATAAAAGTATTGTTTTTGATGCCTACGATTATCAATTAATAAGACTAATTTTAAGAATTTGTGTGATGGAACAATTATCGAGAGTTAACTTGTACATTATTTGATATTGGTAAAGATAATAGAGATTAAATTAGAAATAAAATGTAAAAATTTGTAATTATGCAAAAACAAATTATTTTATTTTAATCATTACATATAATATAAAAAATTATAATTTATATTATTAAAAAAATTATGATATCATTATTAATCGATATTTTTAAAATTTTAAATTAAAATTAATAAATCCAATACATATCAATTTTTATCTAAATCAATAATAATTGGCAGAAGGAATTATAATTAATATGTATTCAGGGTATTATTAATTGATATATATTCTCCTATTTATTTTGCTAATAATTACAACATATGTCATCTTTTTAACTCACTACTATAAAATAATATTTTGCTTAAAATCCAACTGGCCATACAAACTTTCTAAAAAAACAATTCTATATACTTTTATTTTTTTCAATACAAAAACTGGAAAACATTTGTCAAACAATTTATCAACAAAAACTTATTTATATTAAATACCTTTTTAATTTCAATAATAACAAAATTAAGAACTAACAATATATTTTAGCCATGCTGAAATACAATATCCAAGAAAAGACTTCTTTTTGATACAATATTCTTTTATAACAATAATTTATCAAACAGAAACAATTTCTATTTAATCAAACCAAAAAAAAAATAGATAGCAACTTTTATTAACAATAATATAATTATTAGCAAGAAATAAAAAACAAACAAAAATAATCTATAAGTCAATACTGGACATTTGACAATCAATATTTTAATAAATTCTTAATATTCTTAAAATACAATAAATATTTCTAAATATCTATTATAAAACATATGAATGCAAACTACTTATCCTATATAACTCACTTGATCTCTTCACCAAACCAGCTACAAACAATATACTCAAAAAAAAAATAACAAAAAATAATATTTATAACTTCTTACAAGCCAATATAATTACAAATAATCTATAAATAATTATCTCTTCAAGTTTACTTAACTTACTCAAAAACAAACACTTCTCTATCATATCCTAGAAAATTATTGAAAATATTTTTAACTTACAAAACTTTCTATTCAAAGTTCTACTAATATTTAAATTTAACATTAACACTACTATAGTTATTTAAAATTATGTACAATATTACAAATTATTTATTACGCATTTCAATCTTTAACTATTTCCAGCCTTATTTTATATAATTATAATAATATTATTTACCAACGAAACAAAAGATATTATAATCTTCTTCAAACATTTTAAATTAATAATAAAATCTTTTTATCACTATTATTTAATTATAGAAAAAAATGCAAACTCTCTTATTTCTCAACAATTACAAATATCTATAATATAATATAACTTTTCAAATTTCTTTATTGTTTTATAAACCTATACAAAAATATTCAAAACACAATTTATAAATATTATTATACTTTAAATAAATATTATCAATACTTTTTCTATCCAATATATACTGACAAATATACAAAAAAAATCTTTATCTCTAACTAGAAACTATTTTAAACAAATTAACAAAACATGCAGATTAATAGAAATAATTTACTTTGAAAGAGCAAAAACAATCTTCAAATCTGACCTATTACTTCTTGTACAAATTCTAATATTTTTTAAAACATATTTATTTTAATTATACAATACCAATCTAAATTATATAATTTCTATTTCAAAATTCTTTCTACTCTTTCTATAAAAGCATATCTTCACATAATATCTCCAAACATATACATTAATGATTTATGCCTATGATGCAACACAAATCCAAAAACAACTCATTACTTTTGAACTTGTAAAGAAAGCTTAACAATACTCAAAAAATTACTACTGGAAAAAAAATTCAAAAATAACAAAAATTTCAATAAAAAACAAATATAAAAACTATTAAATACCAATATCCACATTATCAACTTTGCAATAGGCATCCTCTTACCAAATAAACTTTTTAAAAATCTTAATCCAACATAAACTGATCTTAAAAACATCAATGAAATTCAAAATAAAACACTTGAACTGCTATACACACAAATATAAATATTCAGAAACCAAGAGATGATTGCAGAAGAAAAATTTCTAGGCATATTACAAAATACCAAATATAAAAAAAATAATAACAACAACAGACCTTACAATATACAGAAAATCAAAAAACACCAATGCCAGCAACACCAACAAACCATAACAAACAATCCAACAACTAATAATACAAATCAAAACAATAAACTAATCAACATTATTCTACAATTATTTTCTCAAAATTTATTCATGCCTCTACAGGATAAAATAATTATTAAGAAGGTATTAGCCCCCAAGACTAAATTGTTACTTTCTTTTTTCCTTGCCTCAAGGTTTTTACTAGAAATATACTTAGAATAGTAGTAGGCTGACATATATAATGATGTATCTTAGTATCTTAATATTAGTCATGTAATACTTCAATTACTCTATTAATAAAGATCACAAGAAATGTCTCACTTAACATCCAAAAAAAACATAATAATCATTATTAAATGATCGAGTTATTTTATTGCAATAAAGAAGAATTCTATTCTTAATTTCTATTAATTGTTGGTTTTTTTTAGATTTTTTAAGTGTTTTTGTGTAATGAGAAATCTCAGTAGCATCGTCTAGAGATCGCTTTAAAAAACCTGTCTTTTTGAATAATGATTTATTGATTTCTTTGTTACGAACAGCTTTTGTTGTTTCTCGAACACATGGCTAATAAACAATAATTATTTATAAGAAATAGCAAATAATTAATAAAATTTGCACGCTGATAACAAATCATGCCTTCATCAAATTTAGTACTGCAGCAAATAGTAATTAATAATACAGAAGAAAAAAACTATTCATCATCCGGAACTTTAAGTATTTCACTCTAACTTGATCTACAGTACATACATATCCATAAGAATTATTCAGATATAATATCACCATAGAAAACCCTACATATGCTATTTACGTAAAATTAATTAGGTCATAAAATCAAGTTGTTAACATCAACAATATTCACCAGAATGTCTATTCCTACAGTTTGTATTTGTTTTCATTTATCAATATTCCAATTGACTCTTCTCAATAATTTGACGGTCATATCCTTGAGCATCTTTGGAAATTTTAACTTAGATTTAGTTAAAATTTTTGTGTCAAATTCATCAGTAAATTTTCATCCAGCCTCACGACTCCGAACTTATCATTGTCTTTATTGCCTACTGATCGTAGAATCCAGTCACTATGGAGACTAAGTTTTTTTTTTATCACTTCATTTTTTTTCGACGTTCTTTCTGTTTGATGTGGCTATACTAATACTTTCTCCTCTTAAATAATAATGAAATTTTAATGTCATAGCTAAGCTAATATGCGTAACAATAAAAAGTAAGATCATTACCAAACCACTGAAGTTCCATTAATGTCATCTTGATTTACTATCGGAGACCATATATGGCAGTTATACCATGATTCAAAATTTTCCTGTCTTAAACTTCCACTCTCTAGTTCTCGAACCCTTAATATTATGGCTTTTTTTTTTTAATAACGGATTTCAACCTATAAAGAATAAACAGAACATTGAATATAATCAATATCGTGATTTTTTAACCGATGTAGGAATTTCCTGGTTTTTATTGCATTGATTAATGAAATCTCTCACTTCTCTCAAACTCGACTGGAAAAGTAATTAATCAGCAATAAACATATGCACATATAAATTTTTGTTAGTAAAATTTACTATTACCCTTTTTTTTATATGTTTGAGATAATCGACAACTTCATCTGCAGTAGGAGTTACAACAGGTCCGGATGCACTTTTTTTTTCATGCAATTCATCTTCAGAAAAACGAGTTTTCGCCTCATTATCATCCACGACTATAATAAAGGAATGAATGGTACTATCTAGAAGGGTTAGATTTTGAGTTATCTCATTGCCATAACATGTGAGATATTTACTGTTCATATTTAAATAATTTGGCAAGATTATACATTTCTTATACGTGCTGTATCTTCTGGAAGATAACCTCTACATACATTGTTTTATATATTTTTTATACGCTTCCTCTATTACTTTTTCTATTGTTAGAATTTAACTTGACTTCACTCTACATAAAAAAATCGAGTCTTGGTACTTTATCCATTACAATATTAGTTAAATCCAAGCATCATATATTATCGCCACCATCTTTCAAAATGGTATGATGGAAGTTCATGATTCACCTTTTTACCTTATCCATGTGGTTCTGGATTTCAGAAACAGCAATATCAGACTCCTCATAATCAGACTCCTAAAGCAGAAATTCTTAAAAATTTAACATATACCTTCGTACATACAATAAAAAAATATCACTATTTCTTTCGATTCAACACATTAAAAATCATGAAAGAAAAATATAGCCTTATCCTCTAGTGTATGTGGCCGTTCCAGGGCTGCTCCCTCAATCTGATCTTCCACTACATCATCTGTCAAAATTTTCTGAGCTAATCCTACGAATTTTTCGGCAATTTATTGATGAATTATTGCGGCATTTATATATTTTGCATCTGTCGAACCTTTAAAGATTATTGATTACAACTTTAAGATTTTATATAAAGAAATGGAAAAAACAAAACATTCAATATCAACCAGTCGCATTTCATAACTCAGCTATTTTCTTCTTATCCTTTAATGTTGAAAAATAATTAGTATAAAATTGACGGGAATGATATGCTGTATGTGTGATGCGAAAATCCCCAAATACGGGAATTTTATCAAAAATGTATAGAAATACTGTATATAGTCCTTCACTATGCTCCGGACTAATCATATTTAATTAAAAGAAAATGATAATTTTACAATAATTAATATTTAACTAAAAACCACATGTACTTGTTGTTATCTCGATAAATTTCCAATCGTATCTGGCCTTTACGGATCTATTTTCCAAAATACACACTAATTGTAGAATAGCCGTTGACATCATATTTCCTAAAAGTACTTAATACCATCTTCCTAAGAAAGTGGATTTTTTTGTGCTTTATTTCCATTACATTATGTAAAGGATGTTTGCATCCCATGAAGAAGAAAAGACATTGTACACATTTCAAACCATACAAATATATGTACAAATAAAAAAAATCCTTGATAAATCTCCATCCAATTACATAGTAAAGGCTATTTGGATATTGCTACTTTTCCAGCCAAAGTAATGGTGCTGGCCTTGCCATTATCTTGAGCATGGGAAGCTAAGCAGGTTATATAAGAGCGGAAATATTACTTAGTCAAAATTCTACTTAAGCTAGAAGTTCATCTTGTATGGTTTTATAATCGCAAGCTATAAGATTTTTGACTGACTTATATTAAAACTGAATAATCTGATATATGCGACAACAGATTTTTTTCATATACAATACCTAATGGTTTATAAAAAAAATAAAAGATACTGTAAATTGATGTTAGTAAGCGAATATATATTAAAAATAAGCTACCTTCTAAACTGGAACCTTTTTTATTTATACCGATAAAAAATTTATTAATATATTAGTTCATATATCGATAAAGCTTTTCGATTAAACTTTTCGTACCACGCATTGTAAAGAATTGACTTTGAACGGATTCATCCGAACATGTATTATCAATTGACAATTCATAATCTAATAATTCTAATCTCTTGTTTTCTGCATCAACAAATTGATCTAGATCTTCTTTACCTAAATGCCATTTATCAAACTGTTCCTTTATTTCTTTGATATTCGGTCTTTCAAATGGGTTCGCTTTCCAACATTTTTTCATTAAATCAGAAAACACTCTTGGAGTATCATCTGTAATTTTAGGTCTTTGTCCTCCAATGATATTATGAATTAATTTACTATTATGTTGATTTTTAAATGGTCTGTATCCTGCAGTGAATTCCCACATAATAATTCCAAAACTATAGATGTCAGAAGCCTGAGTATATGAAGAACCTGTTAAAATCTCTGGTGCTATATAAGATAGGATTCCATATATTTTATGAATCTGGAATTATAGCCAACTTCTCAGCATAACCCCAAATCTCCTATTTTAACTGATTTTTCCTTTCCACCTATTCCCATTAAAATATTTCCAGAATGGAGATCACAATGTATTAATCCATTGTCATGTATTCGCTCTAGTCTAATTTTAATTTATTTAATATTTATCTTAGAAAACTAAATAAAGCGTCAATAGTAAAGGTTTCAATTACGTATAACATACCCAGCTGCGATATAACGTAGTTTCTCAATATTGATCTTCCATGTGATTTCTTTAAAGCCTTTTCTTAAATACTGTTCTAAGCTTCCGTCTTCTGCGTATTCCATAACTATAAGTAATTCTTCATGGTCATTTACAGTAACTCCATAGTATTGTAAAATGTGTTCTTCAGAACTTGTAATTTCATATGAGATTACCTATTTTATACAGATAAATAACAAAATCAACTCGTGTCTCTTTAAAAGGAAATTACGGATAATACTTACTTCTTTCATAAATGCAACTTCCTGGAATTTTATGCTACTAATGCATTTTAAGGCCACTGTAATAATCTCTAAATTCTTTACCCATAATGCTTTAAATATTCTCCCAAAAGCGCCTTTTGTTAAGTATTCAACATACTTAAACTGAGAATATGGTATTCTATTTATATCTGGCTCAATGGGTTTTGTTTTTGCTTCTGTGGATCGCTTGTTCATGATTTTATATGTTATTCCTCGCTCCCTTATTCCTATTAGGTTATTTGGTTCTATTTCTAATGATCTGTTTAGATCTGAAAATGATTCCTTATATTTACCCAACATTCTATAAGTTACCCCGCGTCCACTTAATGCATACGAATTATCCGGCTCTATTTCTAATAATCGATTGAAATCCAAAAGCGACTCTTTATATTTACCCAACTTTCTGTAGGTTTCTCCACGTACACGTAATGCAAAAGAATTATCTGGTTGTATTTCCAAAGATAAATTAAGATCATAAAGTGAATCATTATTTTTACCCAACATTCTATAGGTTTCTCCGCGTATACTTAATGTAAGGGGATTATATGGTTCTAATTTTAACGATCTATTGAGATCCAAAAGTGATTCATTATATTTACCCAACAATCTGTAGACATCCCCGCGTCCACATAATGCAAAAGAACAATAAGGCTCTATTTCTAATGATCTATTTAAATCCAAAAGTGATTCATCATAATTATATAACATTCTGTAGGTTGTTCCGCGTATACTTAATGCTTCTGAATCATCTGGTTTTATTTCTAATGAACTATTGAGATCTGTAAGTGATTCGTTGTATTTACCCAGATTTCTATAGGTTTCTCCACGTCCACATAATGCAAAAGAATTACCTGGCTCTATTTCTAATGAATTATTAAAATCTGAAAGTGATTCGTTATATTTTCCTAGTATGCCATATGTTTCTCCGCGTACACGTAATACAAAAGAATTATCGGGTTCTATTTCTAATGATCTATCAAGATCAAATAGGGATTCATCATATTTTCCCAATTTTCTATAGGTTTTTCCGCGCTCACATAATGTAAGAAAATTATCTGGTTCTATTTCCAATGATCGGTTAAAATCCAAAAGCGATTCATTATCTTTATCCAACATTCTGTAGGTTATTCCGCGTATATATAATGCAAACGAATAATCTGGATCTATTTCTAATGATCTATTGATATCCGAAAGTGATTCATTAAATTTACCCAACATTGTGTAAGCTAATCCGCGTTTACATAATGCAGGAGAATTATCCGGTTCTCTTTTTAATAATCGATTGAAATCCAAAAGCGACTCTTTATATTTACCCAACTTTCTGTATGTTTCTCCGCGACCACATAACACAAAAAAATTAACATGAGGTACTCCTACAGATTTTACAATGCCGCAAATATCTATACTAGACGTATAGGATATGCTGTTACATGTCATATTATTCAAACATTTTTCAACTCCTGCGGTTTTTATGTCTGAAATATCTAAATCACAAGACGTATAGGATATATGAGAATCCAACGGAATACTTCTGTTGTATGGTATGATATTCAAATAATTTTTAAAGTTTTGCGATTTTTCGATTTTCTCAATCTGGTCTTGTATTTCATTGAAGCCTTTTGACTTCAAGCTCACATACCAATTCCAAAGACAAATATGTAACTCTTTTGAGTCTGGTCGATTTTCGGGATTTTTGTCCCAACATCTTATAATTAAATTGATGACTATCGGCGGAGTAATATTTTTATTAATCTCTGGACGAACGTCTTGAGCAATGAGTAACGCAAGATTGGAATCATGCTCAACATTGAAGAATGGTATGAGTCCTGACGCTACTTCATTAATAATTATTCCAAAAGAATAGATATCTGCTGCCATTGTATATTTTCCTCCCCATAAAACTTCTGGCGCAATGTATGGCAATACACCAAATATTGGGTTATTCTTCGCTTCCTCCAGTGATGATTTACAAAATGAAAAATTTGTGATAAAAGATACGAAACATGAAAGAACAATATTCCCGGTGTGCAAATTTTTATGAACTAAATTTGCTTCATGGATATCTCTGAGACCTTTAGCCGCTGTAAATAGGATTTCTAATTTTTGATTCCACGTTAAGCATGGAAAATTCTTGCTTAAATAATTACGAAGGCTACCATCTTTCTTAAAATCCATTACCATCATGAAATCTTGGGTTTCAGGATCTCTTGTTATTCCAAAACATTTTACTATATTGCCAAGCTCATTATGTAATCGCGTTTGAATATTAATCTAGTGCATAAATTAATTTTATAATATTTTATTATTAGTCAAGCTTTATCATAAAACATAATAGAAAATAACCTACTTCGTCCAAAAACCGCCTAGTTATATTCTTCGAATTATATAAACTTTTAAGAACAACATAAGTGTCACCACTTCTCCGCCATTTTTGAGTCTCATCATCCAAGTAAAAAATGAATCCATTCTTCCATTTTGCTTTATAAACCTTTCCGTAATCGCCTTCCGTAATATAACCAATATCCGAGAAATTTTCGAATGGAACCCATTCCAGAACTTTATGACGATTGACAGCGGTATTCTGAATGTTCTTAATAAATTCATCGATTATATAATTACCACTCCTCCACTGAATCTTCTGGAAGTGATTGGCGTTACATGTCAAGCACCATCTGTGGTCAGTTTTCGCTCGCCCATAATGTTTACATCTTCCATATTGTGTGAGATTAAAACATTCTAATTCTTCTTCATTTAATTCATTTAATTGTGATTCCAACATTGTACATAAACTATATTTCAGCGCCTTAGTTTTTCTGTAAACTCGTGATAAAATTCGTCAAGGCGTCTGCTATGGAAAAATGATCGATGCTAGAGGCTTAAAATGGCGTCGCGACGATCGGGCCTTAAGGAGGTTCCCAAAAAGGTAGCCCTGTGATCAAGCTGAAACCACATGTTTATTTTCAGCAGGTAATTATTAAACCAAACTTTTATATATCCCTATACTGTATAGAAGTACTTAATTAAAAGAAAGTACCGTTATTAATCCATTTTACTTGCCAATAAATTTAAATATTTGAATGTTATATTAAAAAGATCTGGCTGACCTGTACTATTTATTATAAAATTTTGAAAAAATTAAAGATAAAAAAATTAATAATAATCAAGATTTATTAATTTATTTTGTTTACAATTTTTTATAGAGAAAACCTATTCAATCCTACAAAATGTATTATCATTTGAAAAAATCAAATCACAATTTCTTGTTAGGCTTTCTAATATATTTTAATCTTATTAAGAAAATAAAATCTTTAAAAAATTTTTAAGCAATACATTTGACTTTGAATTATTAATATTTTGACACTTGATAAATAAAGCATATATCTTATTAAAAATTGAGCTTCGAATTTATTTAAAAAATTCTTATAATAATTCAGATAATAATAATAAATAAATAAATAAATTTTTTTTTAATCCTGCAATCAAGCTAATAATGTTGTTTATTTATTTAATCAATAATTGAACTATTACAAGTATGAAAATGCCTGTAAAGTAAAAATTTCCTTGACCTAGCTCACCTGTCAATAGCCAAAGCCTCTAGATGCAATTTATGAAGATAAAATGTTGTTTCCCTGTTGGAAATAATTAAGATCCCAGTACTTCAATAGGATTATAACTTGCAGATTACTTTTATAGTCCCAACTATAAACTCAAATTATGTCATTCTTTTCTTGTAAAAACTATGTAAAGGAAAAAGGAAATAAAAAAAGGAATAGAAAAAAAAACAGTACAATTGTGCATATAAGAAGTAATTGAAAAAAAAGTAAAAAAGTTAGTATCTATTCTAACTATCATTGAAAAAATTATTTCAGTAAACTTAAAATTCAAGTTTCTCATGGTTTCTTACTTTTTATTATCTATGGTCAGCCAAACTATTTAATTTTCATTGAAGCAATCAATGTTCAAGAATGTTTAAAAGCACTTTTAGAAAAATATTTCTTGAAACTTTACACTTGAAGACTTTTAATCAAAAGGAATATTAGTTTTTTATTGTTAATTTCTCTTCCAAGTCATGTCTTTTTTGGGATTATTGCCTTATTCAACCAGTAGATAGTTTTAAGACCTCCTTTTCCAACTATTTTCAGAATAAATATCGATACTTCAACTTGTTATTAAATTGAAATAGGACCTAGATCTTGTTGCTACTTTCTGTCCTTTAAACTAATAACTATTCAACTCTTTTAAAAACTAATCATATTATTGATTTGGTGTTGTGTGACTAAGAACATATGAGAAGTACATGTTTTGTTTACCTTTTCTGTAGCTGACGTGATTAATTAATCATCTTTTAGAGAATTTGATATAATCAAAAATTCAAGATCAAGTTGAGATAAACAAAATTTTACAGAAAAATTAGAAAAAAAAAGCATACTTGAAAAAGATGAAGTAGGAAACCAAGGAGATAATAAGGAGACTGAAGACTTCTTTTTTCTTATTTCTACAGATTTTTGAATCTCTTGGAACCTTTGAAGAGTGTTTTTTCTTGTCAGTTTTCTTCTTAAGAAGATATTCTTATTATAGGTCTTTTAAGTAGATTTCTTGTATTTGATTATAAAAATAAACAAAAAAAGTGTTTTGAAAAAGAAAAAACAAAACAAGTAGTAGCTGCTGCTTACTTTGCTAGTTAGAAAACCAGTGTTGTTAAGGAAAGTATATAGACTTTATTATTAAAAAGAAATAAAATCTTTTGAGAATATCTGTTTTTTGGATCAGCAAAAAAATCATAAATAAATAAAATAAATATATATATTAATTATTAAAGATGAATAAATAAATAATAATTTTGACTCTTTCCACTGATCTTTTTATCAACCCAAAAACAGATGTTCTCAAAAAACTTTTTGTTTTTATGATAATAAAGTCTATATACTTTCCTTAACAATACTGATTTTCTAACCAGCAGAGCAAGTAGAAACTATTACTTGTTTTATTTTTTCTTTTCAAAACACTTTTTTTGTTTATTTTGATAACTAAATACAAGAAACATACTAAAAAGTCTATGGCAAGAACACCTCTCTAGGAAAAAAACTGACAAGAAAAAATATACTTCAAAGGTTTCCAAAAGACTCAAGAATCCAGAGAAACAAGAACAAAGAAGTCTCCAGTCTTTCCATCATCTCTTTGGCTTCCTTCTTCTTTTTTCTCAAGCATGCTTCCTTTTTTTTGGTTTTTCTGAGAAATTTTGCCTATCTCAATTTGATCCTGAATTTTTAGTTATATACCAGATCTCCTAAAAGATAATTGGTAAAGGCCATAGATTAGTTGATCATGTTAGCTTCAGAAAAAGTAAACAAGACATATACTTCTCACATGTTCCCAGTTGCACAACACCAAACCAATAATGTTATTGGTTCCTGAAAGAGTTGAATAGTTTTTGGTTAAAAAAATGATATGGGAGTATTAGGTGAAGTAGAAGTTGTGAGTAGAAAAAGAGCAACCCCTTTTGTTCTTATTTTTTTATTTTCTTTTTTCTTATTTATTCTTTCTTGAGGACAGGAAATAGCAACAATGTCTAGGTCCTATTCCAATCTGGTAACAAGTTAAAGTACTGATATTTATCTCAAAAATGGTTAGAAAAGGAGATCTTAAAACTATTCACTGGTTGAGTGAAGCAATAATTCCAAAAAATATGGCTTGGAAGAGCAATCAACAATAGAAAACCAATATCTTTTTTGATTAAAAGTCTTCAAGTATAAAGTTTCAAGAAATACTCTTCTGACATTCTTAAATATCAATTAATTCAATAAAAATTAAATAGTTTGACTGGCCACAGATGATGAGAAATAGAAAACCATGAGGGGCTTGGGTTTTAAATTTATTGAGATAACCTTTTCAATGATAGTTAGAATAGATGATAGCTTTTTTTTTTTTTCTTTTTGTCAAAAAAATTCTTTTTTTATTCATTTTTTTTCTTACGTAGTTTCTACAAGAGAAGGGTAACACAATTTGGATTTATGATCATAACTGTGAAGGTAATCTGCAGGTTTTGATTCTATAAGAAGTTTGGGATCTTAATCATATCCTTTAGGGAAACAATATATTACCTCCATAAATTACATCTAGAGGCTTCAGCTGCAGATGGATAAGTTAGATTGAAAAAATTTGTACTTTGCATGTATTCTTATACATGTAATAGTTCTTTGTAATTTAATAAATAAACAACACCAACCTGATTGCATAATTAAAAAAAATAAAAATAAAAAAATAAATAATAATTTTGAAAAACTCTTTCTAAAAATTTTGTTATTAATTCAAAAAACAGATGTTTTCAAAATTTTTATACATCTATAATAATAAAGTTTATATATATTTTTTAATAACTAAGATTTTCTAATTAGAAAAAAAGCAACAGTTACTACTTATTTTATTTTTAAAATATTTTTCTTATTTATTTCTGTAACTAAATAGAAAAAATCTATCTAAAAAATTTATAGCAAGAAAATTAATAAGAAAAAATACTTTTCAAAAATTTTCAAAAAATTCAAAAGTTTAAAGAGATAAAAAAAAATATTTTGTCTCTTTATTATTTCTTTAATTTTAATTTTAATTTTTAATTTTTTATTTTTTATTTTTTAGAAAATTTTGTTTATTTAAATTTGATCTACTGTAAATTTTTAGTTACATTAGATTTTTTAAAAAATGATTATGTAATTAAAATTATGAATTGAATGAATATATAAGTTATAAAAAAAGTAAACAAGACATATTTTTTTATATGTTTTTAATTATATAATATCAAATTAATAATATAATTAATTTTTGAAAAAGTTGAATAAGTTTAATTTTATTTAATATTTTTATATTACTTTTTTAATTAAAAGCTATAAGTAATTAAAAAAAAACTTATTTTTATTTTGTTTTTATTTTATTTTATTCTTTTATTCTTTTCAAAGCTAAAAGTAACTATAAGATTTAAGTCATATTTCAGTCTAATAAGTTAAAACAATAATATTTATTTCAAAAATAGACTTGTAAATTTATAATACAATAGTTAATGCTTCATGGGTCAAATTACAAGATACCAGTTCAATTTCATATAAGAGTAATTGAATAAAATTAATATAGTATTTGGTACTATAACTTGTAAAAGTATTCTTTTTTATGAAAAAAGTTAAACTCTTTCCCGTAAAACCATCAGTTCTTAAAAATTGTCTTTTTTGGTAATTTTAAGAACATTTCTTTACAAAACAATCCTCCAGCACAAGAAACTCCAAAACATTACAAGAAAC